GTGTGTGTGTGTGTGTGTGTGTGTGTGTGGGTGGGTGGCTGTGTGTGGGTGGGTGGGTGGGTGGCTGTGTGTGGGTGGCTGTTTGAGGGTTAAGACTTGGCTGAAGTCAAAATTAGAATTTCCTTCATGTTAAATTTCTCTGTCTGATCTGTAAAGGTGCGTTTCAACATCGCCACCAATCGAGAGACCAAAGAGGAGCGAGCAACCTTCGTGGAGATTCTCCCTGACTCCTTTGAAGAGTCGACAGAACAACGTCGACATGTAAGATTTCCAAACCTTCAATCAATCATTTAAATTTAATTTGTATATCCCATATTCACAAATCCCAGTTTGTCTCTGTTCTTAACTCATCAAGAGTCAAACTACAGAGACACTTTCTGAGCAGTAAATGAAGCTCAGAGTCACATGTGAGGATCCGTCTCCAGGACACAAGGACAATAGATGCTGATGAACTGAAGACATCAACAGATTTACTACATTAGATGAAACAGTTTGTAACTTCATGTTTAAAGTATTTGCACATGAGAGCATGTCTGATAAAGAACAGAGAGTAAGCTGTGAAGGGGGGACAGAGAGAGAGTGGGGGAGGACATGCATAAATGGCCGCAGGTCAGATTCGACCCCGGCCACTGCGGGTCGTTGGGGTGGCAGCTCTACCATGTCCTTGAAACATGCTTAAAGACATTAGTCTGGTTTTATTATACAAGTATAACTGGGTGACATCAACGTGGGTGACGAGTGTGTTAATTAAAAAGGACCGAGCACAAAACCTTGAGGAACACCGTGGTTAAATGTGGTGCGCACAGATGACTCATCATTAATTTGCACAAATTGGAATCGATCTGAAAAATAGGATTTAAACTAGTTTAGGATGGTTCCTTTAGTGCCAATGAACTGTTCTAGTCTCTTTAATAAAATGTGATGATCAGGAGTGTTGAATGCTGCAAGATCTAACAGGACAGACACAAACATCTGAAGCTATTAGAAGGTCATTAGTCACTTTAATCAAGTTATGATTCATTCTGAGTTTCCAACCTGAACAGTCCGAGAACTTGAGAAAAGCTGTCGATCCAGAAGTACCTTGAACAGTGTGATGGGTTTTTACCATTAATGTGTCTGACATTTTTCTGACCAGGGCATTGTGATCGAGTTCTCTGCAGATTCTGGACTGATCAAGTGCAGTCAGAACCCACAGCTCTTCTTCCGCATGGCTGAGGTGATCGAGAAGAAGAAACTGGAGCTGAACGAAAAGGTTGAGTTCAGCGTTGTTCCGGTGAGTCGTCTGATACCAGAGTAAACTAATCGGAAGATTCCAGGGTTCCCGCAGCTCCTTAAAAAGTCTAAAATTGTCATTACAAATGGAAAGTAATGTATATAATATCAGCTGGTGCTCAGTACGTTCACAACAATTAACATAAACTATCAAAACAAACTAAAAATAACTAATACAATGTGACTATTGTTTTTTATTATTGTCAATCAAAAGGACTACTAATATTTAATGTGTCGTTTTCGAGTTCAGTCTGTATGAATTTCTTCATGTGATGAAATAAATAAGCCTGAGAGGTGAAGAGTATCCTTCACTCGTACTCCTATTATTTTCAAATATTTATCTTAATAAACCTTCCCTGCTTCACTTGCTCTAATCCGTTGAGACAGTTTTAGATAAATGAGACGCATATGGCTAAATCCAGTGTCCTGGATCGTTCAATATATCTTCAATCTTCCTGAGTCATAACTAACTTTTGCTGTTTCTTCAAGCATGAGACGGCAGAGGGGGGGACTCAGGCCATAAGGATCAAACGTCATACAGAGAGCGTTTTCCTCCCTGTTCGCAAACTTGGTGGTGTCGGAGCAAACAAAGGAAAAGTACGAATTTTTTATATCTATACTAATATGGACAAGAAATTAAGAGAGAACTTTCCAGGTTTTGTTAATTTGATTTTCTTTCCAGATGTGTAAAATAATGTTTCCTGTGTCTTTTGCATGACGCCATTTCAGTTCAAAATATTGACATTAACACAGCTTCTATATAAGTTAAAGATGAAGCCGTGTTTTGCTTTTACAATGATCACAGGTTAGGTTTTTCTAACTTTGTTTAATATGTGTTTGTGTCCTCTGGTAGATGACCATAAAGCTGACAAAAGCTTCACAAGAGACTGAGTGAGTCATCACTTCCTTTATTTATTATTTTATCATTATTTATTCATCACTATCACCCATGCAGAAAAGAACATGGAATGATCACGTTCACATTTCAGGAAGGAAAAACCAGAGACAGACAAGCTGAAGGCAGTGGTGAAAAGTCTTAGAGCGCATGACAGTAAGACTGGTACTGGCAGACGGGATTACAGCACCACTCGACGTCGATATGGCCGGAGCAGAAGTAGGAGCAGGAGTAAAAGCAGGAGCAAGAGTCCAGCTAGAGACCATTTTGGACGCATCATCAAAAAGAGACGCAGCACCAGTCCTGACCGTAAAAGCAGCAGGTACAGACGAAGCGAAAGTCGTACAAAAAGCCGAAGCAAGAGCTCAAGCAGGAGCCGCAGCAGGAGTCACAGTAGGAGCAGGGATAGGAGCAAGGACAGGGCCATCAAGAAGAGAGGCAAAACCGGCAGAGAGCGTGAGGAAGGTAACAAGAGGAGGAGGGAACTGAGCCCTCCTCCCAGACGTGGAGTCATGGATGACGAGCTGGCAAGGAAGAAGCGGGAGCTCGAGGAGCTGAATGAGATGATTGCCTACAAAAAGTCACTGGTGGACATAGACCCCAGAGGATTGGAGCCTGGACAGAGGACCTGCATTGACTATGACCATGGCAGGATAGCCATGCCGCTCGCTGAATACAAACCAGTCCGGTCGATCTTGAAGAAAAGAACCGATGGACCTGAGCACCACCATCGTACTCCTCAACCCTATGATGATCCGAATTATGATCGATCATACAGTCCTTACCAAGATCGGCGGTACAGTGAGCGCTACGGTGATCTGTATGCCAGCCGTTCCTACGCTGATCGCCCTTACAGTGACCGTCCATACAGCAACCATCCATACGATGACCGCCCTTATGAAAGTCGACTCTATGGTGAACCTCCTTGTGGTCCCCCTGCATCTGCCAGCCACCGTTACACTGATCGCTATGATGTATATGATGAACCCTACGATGATCGCTACCATGACTCAGCACGTGACCAACCGTACAATGATCCGTATCGACCTGTAAACCGGAGCCAGTCTCCAGGACACCATGATCCATCACAGTCTACACTGTCACCTGCCTCCACCCAACCCTCCCTTACTCATTCTTCATTTTCCCAACCTCCGTTCAGACCTCCTTCTCCCACAGAACCACCTCCTAGAAGCCCATCACCCAATCTGAAGAACACCACGCCACCGCCAGCTGAGAAACCACCCCTGGACCGTTTCCTTGACATGCTCAATAAAAAGGTGGGCACTGAAAAGAAATCAGAACTGGTTCATGTTAATGATGACTTACTGCCTCATGAGCGGGCGCTTCAAGATGGTGGGGGGTTCTCTCGGATTGTGGGATTGGTGCAAGGTCAACCCATCAGCCGTGGAGTTCCAGAAGGGCAAAAGAAACAACCAAGTCCTAAACAGGCAACACTAGAGAGATCAAGTGAGGAACTTAAGAGCAAGACAGAACCCTACGACAAGATCCAGAGTCTACTCCGTACAATTGGTCTAAAGTTGAGTTCAGGAGACATGTCCAAGCTAGCAAGCCGAGCTCAGGAGAAAATCTATGGCTCGAGGTCCTCATCCACAGAAAGAGAGGACTCAAGAGAACAACTGCAAACACGTAGATTAAGTTCAGTTGAATCAGATCACATCCACACACCCTCTCCTGTCAGATCCTCCAGTTTGGAGCCACTCAGCAGAGATAAAGCTGTCTCAGAGTATGAAGAATTCCTGGACCAGCAGGAGCTGGAGGCGCTTAAGAAGGCGCAACAGCTGCAGAGTCTTACCAAGACAATGGGGAGTACCCCCTCAACCACTTCTCCCAAACCACCTCCTGGACCCCCGCCTGCTCAATACCGCCCACCTGCACCTATAAACTGGCCACTCGGAGTCACCACGCACGTTCCTCAAGAACAGAGCTGCACAACCGCCAACACAGGTACTCCAACAGCTGGTCAACCACCCCATAGATTTGGATTTCCTCCAGGACCTCCACCCGGTCCTCCTCCTGGACATTCTTCACAGCGTTCTGGACAACCTCCTCCCGGACCCCCTCCTGGACCTCCTCCACGACGCCCCTCTGGACAGCCTCCTTTTGCTCCACCATCCAATCATAAAGTATTTTCTTTTATTGGCCACCCTTCTACAGCCAATGACTCCAGTCCTCCACAGACTTTAACCACTGCCACAGTAACACAGACACCTCTATCATCATGTCCTGCTAGTGATGACCAATCAGCCATCTCTACAACAGTAGCCAGGTGTCTGAAGGTCATAGAGACAGTTAAGTCTCTGGCTGTGCAGACTTCATCTAAACCAGTGAAATCAGTGCAGTTCAGTTTACCCACAGAGTCTCCATCAGCCTCCAGTCCTCACACCACAGCAGACACAGAGGAGGACATCAGGGCAAAGCAGAGAGAGAAGGTACGATCAGCCCTAGTATTTATTTATTAAAACCATTAACATGAGTAAACATTACTGGTACTTGTTCTCAAGAATGAAAATTAAGAGATACCGATAACATGGTGTGGTTTTTGATGAACTGCAAGAGGTTCTTGCTGGCAACTGAAATACATTTCCTGAAACCAAAACTGATTGTTGTTGTCTTAGAGCTTTGATGGGAGATGTATCTGCTGCCAGTATTTCAAATAAACAAATTTACCTCGTAGGAAGTGCTGTCATGGTGGACAGATGGCGTTTTACGTAGCTGGTCCCTGAGGTCATTTGACGGTTTTTAAATACATTGGACAGAAACGTGTAGGGTCTTTTCTAGATGACCCCAAGAGGGTGGCATGAAAACTGCAGGCAAACATCTTCCTGTCACTGACCATGACATTATCGTGGCTAACCATTTGAAATATACAAGTTCCCTTGCATTAGCCACTTAGCATGAGTGCTCACTGTAACATTAGACAGTACAGATAGCTGATTTTTCTGATGTATAAGAAGGGAGAATGGTGAAATTCCTCACAAATGAGTGAATGAATGAGACAAAAAATTAAATATAAACAAAACTATAAATACTTGGGTTCAGCCTTGATATAGACAGACATATCTGTGTTTTAACTACGTCACATGAAGCTTTGACCCGACATCTCTATTTATATTGCAGCTGGATTTGTACAACCAGAGGATTTTGGAGAAAAGGGAGCAGAGGTTCCAGGAGATGTTAGCCTGCAGAAAACAAGGAGAGAGGAACAAGGACGGCACGGTGGTCTCTCCAGGTAACTGGACTTATAAAATAGAAAGTGCACGAAAATAGCAACCTTTGAATTACAGAAATTGAGTTTAGATTTGAGTAGCTTACATTTGCGGCTTGTTTCAAAGATGTAAATACATTTTCCAGTTAAAACTTTACATTTACATGTTATCTATGCTATCTGTAGTTTAAAGACAACAGATATATTAAAAACGATTTCTGTCTCCCAGAGTTATTCAGGCTATAGTGAGAAGCTCAGAGATGAGGAAATGTCAAGAAAATATGCGTTAACACAATGGAAGTATTGCTTCCCAAGTAAGTTTTGTCTATGAATAACAAGGCCTAATTATGTAAATAATCATGGTTAGGCCCTAAGATAGTGACCTTTTTAGTGCTACGTGTACTAAACAAGACTTATGCCTCGTTGTCAACGGCATCATCTCATAGATTTCAGAAAGAAAGCAAATGACTAGAATTCATCATAGGATTTCACTTGGGTTCTTCACCACAACGCTACACAGTCTTTTTCCACTTTGTGACAGAGATCATGATCACAGCCAGGTTTATCCCAGATGTGGCTTCGCTTGTATACGTTTGTTCAGCAGCTCTGGTGCTTGCTCATTGGCACCAACATGTGTTTGCACTGTTGCAGTCAGCTACAGTGGAAATTTCTGCAGTGATTCTTGAGCTTCCATACATAGGTACTGCCGTACCCTGAAACTGAGCCATAAAGCTGTTGTTATGATAACCAAGACGTCTTCTGCGACTAAGGTCCGTCGTTCTTTCCATCGCTCACGTTAACCGAACCTTGTGCGTTGTTCCAACGATCAAGAAAAGAAGGCGAGGACAAACCTGACTCCACAAAGTAACATCTTTTTTCTTTATATTATAACTGTTGGAATTTAGCTTTTGAAAAAACTACCACTGTCCAGTCAGAGCTAAACAACTAGACATGTTTTCAGTAAAGTTAGGTTTTAATTGAAAATGTTGGATACCAGAGCTGCTACAATACCTAATCTTTGGTACTTACTCCACCACTATATACTTTTTCATATTTTCATTAAACTGTAAGTAAACCAAACTTTGGATTTACTTTTGATTCTGACTTAAGTGTCTGAGATTTTTCAGTGATTTAAAGATGAGATATCTAGTTTTAGCTAGACACTTAGTTCAAAGATGTAAATACTAGACACTAAGTTTCAGTGATACTTTTATTATCTCCAGGCTAAGGTTTGTATTCTTCAGCTTAAATACAGTTATGATCTTTTCTACTTGCCACCTAAGTTTTGGAACTTGCAGACAAAGGCCCCAGATCTGAGCCAATTGGGGTTTGACCGGCAATTGCTGTGTGTGAACTTTTAAAATATGTGTTTTGAGATACTCCAACACTTTACATCGTCCGAGTAGATTTGTTTAAGGCTACAACTACAACACCATGGTGAAGGCTGGTCAAAGTTTGGAGAGCAGACATACTAGTTGGGGGTTTCTCTTGGTAAAAGATGGTGTACTGTATGTGACCCCTTTTTGTCAGTCTGTTGTGTTGTATGAGCACAAAATGACTTCAGGGCTCCAGATCTGAAGACCACAAGTTGTGTAGTGTGAACTTGCTTTTCACTCATTGGTCACTCAGATTGTACTCTTGAGCATCATACTCACAGTTTGATGGTCGGCAGTCCTTGTCCATGAAGGAGTCAAAGATAAATTGTAAGACATGCTCAAGTATCAGAAGATCGATTTATAAACACACTTCTGACTTTGATTTGTGAAAAGATGAAGAAAAGATGGTGTGGGATCATTTAAACAACTAAAAGAAGAAAACTGAGACATGATGCAATCTGCCTCTGCTTGGCTTTATTGTAAGTCAAATAAATAGTTACATGGTAATGGTAACAGATCACTTACTTACTTACTCATACTGTATATTTCTACTGTTTCTACTGTTCTGTTACTGACTATTTCTCAGTATGCATTGATCGCACACCTTTCAGAAGAACTGTTGGCCCTGACTTTAAAAGTGACCTCAAGTGTGTACATAGTACAGCCAGCTAAAAAGGAAAGTGCTAAATTTGTATTGTTGATGGTAAAACACTAAAAGCAAAGATATCAAAGCTTTGTCGTGCTGCTCTTAAAATAAACCGAGAACCTGTCGTTGGTGTCAAGGATCAACGTTGTAGGAGAAATAACAAGACAATGGACTAACGGCTCAGTCTGTACTACAACTCATAGTAATAAACCGTAGCAGATGGAGATCAATTCTTCAAGATGGCCTCACAATCCTGGACTAACTAAGAAGAGTTCACTTTTTTAAAGTTAGGTGTTTTTTGACAGTAGTTCTCCAGATGTTTCATTCTTTATTGTCAACAGAATTTTGAGTTGTGCATCGAATATAAAGAATATTTCATATCTGCTGTTCAGGGTAAGTCAAGTTTGCTCAATTCTGTTTGTTTCAAACTGAGAAGAGAGTGGAGTTTTTTTTACGAATATTTACAGAAAATCTAAACAGCTGTTTATAACCCTTTCCACACATAGTATTTGAGGTTAATTTTCACAGTGAACTAAGTTTCATAATGTTAAAATTATTTACTTTATATAAAATTTGGTCACACAGTTAAAGTTTCCCCAGCAGAGGATTTACTTTTACTTCAATGTCCTTACTTAGTGACCTTTGGAACTCGTGCTGCAGTCAAGCTATTGAACCTCAAGTTCAATCTGAGTTTATGTTTATGCTGATTAACACAAGGCTGCATCAGTCATTGAATCATTTACAGCGACAGTGGTAATGGTTGACGTATCCATGGATCTTCCTGTGTCGCTGAGGTTGTTTCCAAGTTGAAAATAAAAATATAAACATCCAAAAAGTAAGCTGTGTTATGAAGGATAATGTACAGTATATTTATCATTTATGATTGTCCAAAGATGATTTACCAGAGTGATGACTACATTTACTAATATTGAGTATAATTTTATCCAAGCTAAATGTGTCTACCTGTTTACCTGCCTGCTAACTAAGTGCTATATATTGCATTTTTATTGAAACTCATTAACAGTAAATTGGAGCCCTCAAAAATTCTGGGTCATGAGCTCCATTCTCTCTGCCGTCTCTGAAGCGATCTACGTTAGCTCAGAAAGCTAATGTGGAGAACTTAAACATCACGTAGGGGTCAGCTGGATATCGTTAGTTTAATCAATTTCAAAAGCGACATACTGGTAGTCTGTCATCAACACGGTAAGTGGTCAACTCTCTACCTAACGTCCATTAATGTCAGTGGTTTTCCTTAACCATCATTTTTCGAGCTAAACGTTGAATTCTTTATGAGCTAAATTTATCATTTTATTTCTAAGTTGAGTCCATTAAGAATGTGTCCATTAGCAAATTAAATATCCGTGAATAGGACCATTACAATTTCTAAGCAGTGAACTATTTGTTATTTTTGTCTAAAACGAATTGGTCAGAGGTCGTCTATCAAATATTGTAAGCTTGCCGACTGATGTTAACATTTCGAGTTGAGGCGCTGATACTGAACCTCAGACCTGAATGCGAGTCAAGGATTCAGATACCTTGAAACTCGTCGATATCGGATATCGTTCCTAGCAAGATCTTGTTCTAGTCAGTAGATAATTGTGCTATTAGTAAATGTAAAATACGGGTCACTGAGCAGTTTGTATGGCGGGTTTGGGAAAACGGTTTATCCGAACAATTTCGGGTCTTCTTCATTTAGTCTTTGCATACTGTCACATCTCAGTTGGTCTTCCAACACTTTTGCTGTTCCATCATCCAAACAACAGTTGACCATTGGTCACCCCTCGTGTACATTTAAATCTGCCGTGGTCTCTGCAACACTGTGAGTCAAGTCTTTGCATTCAAACAATCTGTTCAGGTGACTGACAACCAGACTCCAGTACAGATCAGTTTGGTTCAGAATGAAGAGGAGAAGACTAGGTCCAGTATGGAATCGGAACAGATATGGAAACAGTAAAAGCCCTACATGACTCAACAATTTCTGATTGCAACTGAATTTCATATTTACAAAATGGGTCTTGACATGCACTTCGTTAACCTTTGAGATTAAAATCCATATCTTTTCTTGAAACAAAATACCGGACCTTAATTCACCTGAAAATGTAAGAAACTTGGAACAAGGCTGGTTAAAAGTCAAAACATTATTTCATGGTGTTTTGTTAATTTGTCATATCAGGTTTCAAATGATTCCAGTGCTTTTCTTGGTACTTAAATCATGTTGCATGTTGTGTTTCCATGCACAGCCAATGTTGAGATTTAGTGTATGTTAATACATTACACTCAGCATTTAGCTAGAGAGACGATTACATCTGCAGCTAACAGTCCTCAAGAGCTTTTCAAATCTTTGAACTGAAGTTTACTTGTAGTTTTATTTCATATTCCTCAGAGGATTTAAAAGAAAAGAAAGAGAAAATGTGTATATTGCAGAATGGCAATATTTGACAGTGAAGGTAGGTGATTATTTTGATCTTTTCAGATTCTTTTGAAAATGATCATATAATTGTCTTAAGTCAATCAAACTCTAAAGTAATTTTATTTAACTGGTGTGTAGATGTTATTAAATATTCAGACATTTACCAATTTTTTGTTTTAGGTTATGACCCCATTTAACATAAACTGTAAACTGTAGAACCTGTTGATTATCTCTCCTGATGCAATGATTATTTCTTTATTCAATGATACATGATAACAATTAAGAAGATGCTGTTAGGTTTCATGACAAATGTTAATGTCTTAAGATTTAATCAGCTATGAATGTTTTGAATATTAGTAATTCAATTCTCGGGCTTGTTTCATAAAGACTGTTTGGCTTTTGTGCAAGAGTGGGATTTCAACTCAATGTCTGGTAAATCTTTCAGAATCATAGTAGATTTGTAAGCAGACCATTTTGAATTTTGCTGCTGCTGTGACATTCACAATGACAACCTCTTATGACGGATATAAGAACAAAACAAATACTGGCCATACTCTACAGACCAGACAGACAGATTCTTTGTGAAACCAGCCCAAGGACTAATGGACAGTATTCATGGTTTGGGATCATCCAATGCAAAATATCATGAAGATTATCAGTCATCTAGCTTGTGGTATCTTCAGACGTTGCTCAAGTGTACATGGGCAACATAAGCAAGTCCAATTGCCTATGCACACTTGTACAACTTCTTAAGATCAAATGCAAAAGATTCGTCTTTTTGTCTTTATAATTAATACTTTACTGAAGTATTCTGTTGAAATTTCTAGGCAAGCCGATGAACAGTGAGCCCAAGAATGTCTGGATTTGTGGCCATTCACTGGTGTACTGGGCTGAGTCACGAGCCAAGTCTCCGGAGGTAGGTATGCAGCTGGGCATGGACCTCAGCAAGGTGGCTATCTGGTGGAAGGGCACCCAGGGCATGACATGGTCCCAGCTCTTGCCCCAGCTCCACCAGCTGAAGGTCACCTGGCCCAACCCAGACGTCCTCATCATGCATCTGGGGGGCAATGACCTGAGTACTGACAGCCCCACCGACCTGCTGGCCGCTGTCAAGAAGGACCTGACCTCCATGAGGAGCATCTTCCCACAGTGCATCCTCGTGTGGTCAAACATCCTCCCTCGGAGGGTGTGGCGCCACTCGGCCGACAGCCACGAAGTCGATCTGGTCCGAACCACAGTGAATCGCAGGATCCAGAACATAATTTCGGAGCTCGGTGGCACTTCACTCACCCATGATAACATCCGGTGCGGCACAAACACAGGCCTGTACCGGGCTGAAGGCATCCACCTGTCCCCCAAAGGCATCGACGTTTTCAATCTGAACCTTCAAGATTTTCTGGAGAAGTGGGAGGTGGAGGTGAACAAGACCTCTGAGAACAGTTAAGACTTCAATTATTTTCTTGTTTTTATGTTGTCTCTTTTATTTCTAATGATAGATAGATGGATTGATTCAAATAACAACAAAAGTTGTTCACGTTCTTAAGTCTTCATCTCAAAATCATTCAGTCAAGTTTTAGCTTTAGCTTATCACGTAGGAACTGTTGATCCCTGTTTGTCTGACTTGAAACAATAAACTCAACATCAGCTGATGTGTTGTTTACCTTGAGTCTTTAATGTTCTTAATAAAAAAACATCCCAGATTAAATTATCTGTTGGTTAATGTTGACTTTGTTTATGTTTCTAACGTGTTTTTATAATGTTGCAGGTAAATGTGATTGAAATGTAAATGGATTGTGACTAAGCACATTGATACATTTATAATAATAATAATAATGGCTTGCATATATATAGCGCCTTTCACGGGACACAAGGACACAAGGACACTTTACATATGTCTGTGAGGACAAAACAGAAGAAAGAAGAAAAAAGTAATAACACAAAACAGGATAGAATTTAGCAGCAGGGTGGAGCATTAACTGAGGCCAAGGCCTTAGTGAAGAGGTGGTGCTTGTGTGTCTGGTGCAGCACTTTCTCTGAGAAGAAAAGGCACATCAGCATGGGGAAGTCTGGGATCGAACAACCAACCTTCTGGTTCGAGCACTGATTCTCAAACTTTAGTATGCATACCAAGAGTGGTACGCAAGCTCCCTCTAGTGTTAAGTGGAAGAATCTCAGAAATATTATAATATTTTTATTATAAAATGGACTGTTCAAAAACACTTCAATCGTGGCTCCCAACGGGAACTATACAGAAGAAAAGACTGTATTAGGAAGATAATATTTCGAGCAGCTGTGTTGAAAGTAAAGTAAAGTGACCGCAAACAGTAAACGGAGCGCAAGTGCTAGTAGCTACGTTAGCAGTTTCAGTGAAGTCTCCACAGCACCTGCTAGCAGCAAACGGTGCTAAACAGTAAGGAGATATGACGCGAGTTACCTCAAACTTCTCTTTTGAGAATGACTGCGTTAGAGGATGACCCGCCCTACGTCCTGAGCCACAGCTCATGATGTCATTGTTTCATATTTATATTATGGTTTTACCCCTTTATCTGTTTCAGAGGATGGAGGGGGAGGGGGTTTTGTGGACTGAATTGTTTAAGTCCACAAAACATTTCTGGAGTCTCAGGTGTAAACAGTGTAAACAACTGAATAACTGGTGACTGATTCTTCAGATGTAATAAAACATGTGCCATCAAGCGTCCTCAAGACTCAACATTCAAAATCGAAACGTCTGCAAACTTAGCCACTTCCAGGTGTTTTAGGCTTAAAACTTGGTGTAAATTACCTTGTTTCAAGACACCATTTATTTCAAATGTACTGGATTCTGCTGCAACACTGTTTAGCCCTGAGACTGAGTGAAAGTGAGAGTTTGTGACAGTGAGAGTGTTCAATGAAATAAGAGTTTATATTTCTGTGAATGTATAATGATCTCAGAAAAACTTGTCCTTTACCCAAAGAAAACAACAATCATCTGCTTATTTTACGTGGAAAGACTTTTTTTAATCACAGTAGTTTATAAACAGTGTCGTGACGTGTCGTCTCAGTTGGAGACGACCAGGTGAGTCTTTGTTTTCTCTGCAGGTTCAGGAGAGGACGGAGCTCCGGCGACTCGATCTGGACCCTGCCCAACATTCAGACTTCTCCACTTGTCCAGTCCCACTTGTCCTCAGTAATGTAGAGAAACTAAAAAAGAGTTTCTCTACACACCATCACAGAAAACAGAACGATCCTGCAGCCTCTCACAAAACACTGATCAGAAATCACGTCTTTGTTCTCAGCTACGTGGTTCAGACCGTCAGGATGGTTGAAGAGCCTTCACAGCGACCATTTGAATCTGAGCTGGTCCCTGATCACTGTCCTCAGTCCTGTCTGAGATCTATGAATCTATCTGCTCTCAGGTTCCTTCGGATTCATGGAAATTCTTTGAGAAATAGTCAACACATGAGTACAACTTGACAGGATGAAGTTGTGGGAGGGACTCAGACAGCACATCAGGGTAAGGTCACTGTGAAGGAACCTGAACTTTACTTGAATTGTGTTATTTTTTGTCTAACAAGCAACACAATCATCAGACCATGCTTCAGACCTTTTCACAATAAAAGCTCTGTTATTCAGTTCAAAATAAAGCATTACAGCAATAAAACATTGTTCAATTAAACATTTTCTGGTTCATGTATATATCATCAAATCAAAACACATGATCTGAAGTTACTTAATATATTAAGAATATAGAGAAACCAACAGTTCCCACAATGAGCTGCTCTGATGACTGAGAGATTAAAAGGGGGGGCAGGAGCAGTTGTGCAATCATATATTGAAAAGAAGGGGTATTTATGCAATAGTATATATTTAATGATCTTATTACTGGCAGCAGCAACAGTTCATTTCATATAATAACAGTTTTGTATCAGATTTCGAGTAAGAGTCAAAAAGTCGGTGATGTGGTATTGTGATCAAAATAAAATAAAAAGGTGAAAGGCGAGTTTATGAATGAAAGAGTTTATAAATCAGCAGGTGTCTATGACGGACATTGACCCCTGTGAAGGTGTCTGCTGGGAAATATTTAATTTTTTTATTGTGTTTTTTACAGTGTCGTGTGGTTTAAAGGGTGAATAAATCAAAAATAATTTCAGGTCCAGGATGATTTTTAGTTATGAATCGTGATAAAACAGTAGATCATGTCGAGCTGGATGTAATCTGCTTATCCTGCAGCAGCTGAAGAACTCGTCCAACCACTGTGCAATCTGGGGCAGTGCTCAACATTAAAGGGATATTTCACCCAATACATTAAATTACATGTCATTTAGCTGAGGCTTTTATCCAAAGTAGTGCATTCAACATCTATATCTACTCGCCACTATGATGGAAGGGGGGGTGAAGTGTTTGAGTCCACACAAAACTTCTCGGGTTAACAGTGAAGCGGCCAAGTCCAATACAACTAAAGTCAATGGAAGGAAGAAGATGTTTAATGGCTGACGGTTAAAACCTTTGTTTTAAGTAAGATTTAGGTGAAAGGGATCTATTGGCACAAATTGAATATAAAATAATCCTCAAGATGTTTTCACTAGTGTATTTCATCCAAATTGTACAAATTGTTGTCTTCTTTATCCTACAACAGGCCCTTTATATTGAAATACTTTATATTTGCATCGAGAGGGTCCTCTCTATGGAGGCTGCCATGTTTTTAAAAGTAGCCCAGACTGGACAAACTAAACACCTTTTGAGTTTTTATAACAACTGAAGTCTACCACAGGTTATCTGTCATGTCTGGAAGGGGAGGATGAGGTGAGGGGTAATTAAGCTGCAACATGCAATTTCACCACTAGATGTCGCTAAATTCTACACACTGTACCTTTTAGCCTTGTGGACAAAATGTTCTTCTGTTTGAGGAGCTGCTGAGCGTCTGCAGGAGGACATGTACTGTGGTTTCCCTCCACCAAGGGGAGGCTACCTTTCAAGTCGTCAAGTCAACTTTATTATCATAATGCCATATGTGCAGGCCGAGGACCGCATTCTTTAATGGTGGGTTCTTCTTCAAATATAAAAAAACTGAAAAAACGTAACTATGCCTCCCTACTGCTTCTTTGGTGTCATCCAAGTGTCTGTAAGCCCCGACATTCATATTCAACTTGAAACGGCTTCATTTACACCAAGTTTTTAGCCTAAATGTCCACTGACAGAAGTAGTGATGCTATCGCGCATACCGTTGGGCAACAGTTTGTGTGCAGTGATCATTAAACATGTTTTTACTACAGAAGCAGTTTGTAAACTGTAGTTTGATGGTAGAGGTGCAGTTTGGATTCTGCTGCTACACTGTTAACCCCTGAGAAGTGCTTTGGCGACATACGTACATAAACAGCTTTCTGAGAATATCTCTATCATCTATAACCCCCAGAAGGAGATGGTCTAATGTCAATTACAAACAAATGTAATTGTTATAACTAACCCTTATCCAAATGGGAGAAGTTTGTAGAGGCCTTATTATACTATTACCTTACATTACATGTCATTAAGCTGCCGCTTTTATTCAAAGCGATTTACAATGAGTACTAAAAATTATCAATAAAGTTTCTTCAATTGCCCTATACATAAAAAAAAGTATAATGTGATTCCTGTTTTCACATATCAACCTTATTCGCAGCCTTTTGACATAAGTCTGATGTCTATTTACGTTACAGCCATTGCTATTTGTACAGTGGCTTGTGTGACATTTTACTTATATCAGAATATTTTCCTCATCTCACCTCGAGATACTGACAAGAATAGTTTGCTTTGAGTGAAACCCGCTCCAGTAAAGAGATCAAAGACAGGTCCCACGTTTATAACAAAAAAAAAAGGTTGGAGTCAACTCCACAAAAATAAGTTTCACGAGTGCTCCTCAAATGAAGCAAAGGCTCTCAAATTCTGTTTGTCCACCACTTACACACAGACAACCTTGTTGTCCTTTTGAAACTTAAACATAAACATAAAGGGTTCCATGTACGTATTTTATGTACGTATGTACAGTTCTGGGGCCTTATTTATATAGTGCATACGAACATTTTGGAGACGGGAAAGTGACGATGCAGACGTGAGATGGTTAACTGAAGCAGATTATTGATCCACTTCATCATTTACAATTAAACCAACGGCGTTAGTTGAGCTCTCGTGACAGAACTGTTCCATTAGAACCTTCAACTGAAAAAGATATAACACAATTTACAGCAAATTACGTTCAGAACCATTAAACATCATTAATAGTTTTAATATCTTCCAACACTGTGCGTGTATCATTAGGGAAGAGTGTGTGAACATGACTGTGCCATGAGGCGCACAGAGCGCACTGGAGGTCACTCACTAAAATAAAGAAACTTATTTACTTTCAAATAATCTCCCAGAGTGGAGGTTAGATACACAGTGTGAAGTCATCGGTCCACTCTGAATATATAAATGCTGCAGAGACTCGTGCGTGACGCTGTGTGATGGATGCACGCAAATGGAAGGATGAGGAGGAAACAAGGGTCCAGTGATGACTGATCAGCTGATATAGATTCTGTAGATCTGGGATCTTCGTGCTGAACTGAGTCCAGTATTAGATCGACTGACGGAACTGAACCATCCCAGTACAAACACAAAATAATAATTCTGTTAAACTCTTCATTGGGGACATCAC